AGGAGGAGGAGGAGGAGGAGGAGGAGGAGGAGGAGATGATTGGATTTATACTCCGCCCTTTACTTGGAGTCTCAGAGTGGCTTACAAACTCCTTTCCCTTCCCCTCCCCACAACAGACACCCTGTGAGGTGGGTGGGGCTGAGAGAGCTCTGACAGAAACTTCTTTTTCAGGAACAGCTGTGCCAGAGCTTGTGACTAACCCAAGGTCATCCAGCCAGGTGCAAGTGGAGGAGTGGGGAATCAAACCCGGTTCTCCCAGATTAGAGTCCACACACTTAACCACTACACCACTACAGTATGATGTCACATCTTAGAGTTTTTCTATTTGGTTATTTTTCTGCATAATTTTGCAAGCCTGTAACCCTAGTCCCACAACACTGTTTATTCAATGTCTTATACTGAATTATTTCCCCCCCTATTTTGTAATCCACCTTGAGTTTCAGCCAGAATGGCAGGCTAAAAATGAAGTAAATTAAAAAATAAAATAAAATGGGTATGGATGATGATACTTGTTGTTGTTCAGTCGCTCAGTCGAGTCCAACTCTTCACAACCCCATGGACTACTCCCTCAGGTTCTTTTGTCCTAGATACTGCCATGGGTGCAGTAGAGATTTAATGGTACCCTTGTAGGGAGGCTCCCTGAGGTAGTTACTTGGGAAATATGGATGGAAATGGAAGGGCTGGGACTGAATCAAGCCCATTATGAGTCAGAAACAAATGCTGGAAGGACTTTTAGGCTTCGTAATAGGTTGTGTGTGTGTAGGGGGTCAAAGATGAAGAAGCTATTTCCAAGCTGCTCCCTTCCCCCAATTTCCAAGCTTCACTCCATCAATATTTGATATTATTCACTTGTTAGGAGCAGTCTATACATTCTCAAGGTTGTGCTGTTGTGGGGATGTCACATTTCTCCAGAACTTGGGTATTCTGTTCTGTACTTGGGACCTGCAGTTTTATGTTGCTGTAGTAGGGAATGTAGTTAAATGGGTGTTTCAGGGATTTCATTGATACGTCCTATGACACAAGTGGTGATGAGTGATACTGTTATAATAATTTGTGTGCTATCAAATTGCAACTGACTCATTAGATCCCCAGCCCTGTTGGGTTTTCAAGTCAAGAGATGAGCAGAGGTGTTTTACCATTGCCTTCCTCTGTGTAGCAAGTCTGGTTTTCCTTGGTTGTCTCACATCCAAGTACTAATCATGGCCAACCCTGCTTGGCTTCTGAGGGCTGATGAGCACGGGCTTCTCAGGGCTATTCAGGCTGCTGATACTACTATACCCTGAACTTAGGTTATATTAAGTTTGTTTTGAAATATTTCAGGAGTCCAGTGACATGCTAAACCAGGGGTGGCCAAAGTTGCTTCATGTAAGAGCCACATAGACTAAATGTCAGATGCTCGAGAGCTGCAAGGTGACTTTGGAGGAAAAGGCAGGCTTAGGGGAGTGGCTTGAAAGTGGCATCACAGGAAGGGGTACAGGATGTGATTTCATTGAAAGGGGTGGAGCTTAGGAGGTGATGTCACCTGATCTTTGACCTGGAAGCAACATCATAGGACATGACATCACAAAGTGATGTCACATCCTTGCAAGGCACCACCCCCAAAGTCTCCTGGCTCCACCCCTGAACAGAAAAACAAGAGTAGTAAAAACAGACATTGCTGGGATATATTGCAATACTTTGCGAGGTACCTCCTGGCAGAGTTACCTCAGCCAGCATGGACAAAGCCATCTTTGATGGCGTTCTGCCTGCTATTCCCACAGTCCCCTTCATGATACTGGTGGCAAGAGGACCATGAAGAGCCTCTCGCTGTGCTCTGTTTAAAGGCCTGCATGGGGGGGGAGGCAACCGTGTACCTTGGCTGGTGCCCTCCTTCCCCCCCAGCAGAGGGCATCCCCGCACCCCCCATGGTGCTGGCAGCAAGAGGTCCATGAAGAGCCTTTTGCCGTGTTCCTGTTTAACACCCATGGAGGGGGGTAATGCAAACATGCAGCCTGGCTGGGGCCCTCCCGATCTCCCTCCCCAGCAGAGGGCATCCCCCCCCACACCCCATGGCGCTGGCAGTCTGACGAGCAGGGTGCACAGAAACTGGCTTCCCTGGTGGCACCAGCGGCTCTCTTAGCTGATCCCTCCCCTGCCACTGAGCCCCCGGCAGCTGGGGCTACTGCTGCTCTTCCTCCTCTCTTTTCTGTGCTCTCTTCCAGCAGCAGGAGGCAGCAGAGGGGAGGGAGTGACTTTCAAAGGGTGGGGGGAATGCAGGGGTGGTGGCGGCAAGCTTTTTGAGAATCATAGACTCATAGAGTTGGAAGGGGCCATACAGACCATCTAGTCCAACCCCCTGCCCAATGCAGGACCAGCCTAAAACATCTCTGACAAATATTCGTCCAGCCTCTTCTTGAAAGCTGTCAGTGAAGGGGAGCTAACCACCTCTCTAGGCAGCTGATTCCACCTTTGAACTACTCTGACAGTGAAAAAGTTTTTCCTAATATCCAGCTGATACCTTTCTGCATGTAATTTAAACCCGTTACTTTGGGTCCTATCCTCTGCTGCCAACTGGAACGGATCCTTGCCCTCCTCCAAATGACACCCTTTCAAATATTTAAAGAGAGCAATCATGTCCCCCTTCAACCTCCTCTTCTCCAGACTAAACATCCCCAAGTCCCTCAGCCTTTCCTCATAGGGCTTGGTCTCCATGCCCCCTATCGTCCTCCTTGCTCTCCTCTGCATCCACTCCATTCTGTCCACATCCTTTTTGACGTGAGGCCTCCAGAACTGCACACAGTACTCCAGGTGCGGCCTGACCAAGGCAGTATACAGAGGGGCTATGACCTCCTGCCATTTCGATGCTGTGGCTCTTTTAATACAACCCGATTGAATTTGCTTTTTTTTACCACCACATCACACTGACTGCTCATATTGGTTTACAGTCCACTCTTACTCCAAGATCTCTTTCGCATACACTATTTGTGCTTGACATTTTTGTGGCCCAGATGTAATACTGTGTATTTATCTTTGTTGAATTGCATCCTGTTTGCAACTGCCCACTTCTCCAGAGTATTCAGGTCTTGTTGAATTTTAACTTTATCTTCTTGGGTGTTTGTTTGGAGAGGGCTCCAAGAGCCGCATGTGGCTCCTGAGCCACAGTTTGGCCACCCTTGTGCTAAACACTACCATGATTTATTCCAGCATAAGCTTTTGTGAGTCAGAGCAAAAAAAACCTTATGCTAGAAGAAATTTGGATAGTTTTTAGGTGCCACTGGACTCCCGTTATACTTTGCTGCTCAGCTACCTGTCTGAAATTCAAATTCTTCAGATGCTGAGTAATGTCCTGCTATACCACTTTAACTAGCAGCACTTCTCTAGGTTTTAAAAAGGTGCCCAGTTTGGGGAAAGCAGAGAAGTGGATTGCTATTTTATTAATATTTTGATATGATGTCCTATATTTAGTTACTTGAAGCCAGTGGACTGTTTCTCTCCATTGCTGAAGCAAACATCTGCCCTGATGGAGAACAGTATGGTTTTCCATATGGTTCCCCGGTGTGTGAACTGAATTAGTCTGTTGTCTTCTAAGTCTTGTGTGGATAAATTGTGCAAAGGCTAAAATTCAAGTGGTACTGCACTGTCTTCTGGATGTGCCCATAAAATGGGCTGGATTAGGACTAATATGGGCACACCTGAACATATTTGAGCTCAACCCTCCTGTGTTTTGACAGGATTTAATGTTCAGCATCCTGTCTGGCAGTCCCAAGCTTTGCCTTAGCGAGCTTCAGGAGGAGAAATGAACTTTTTTAGGCCTTTCTAAGTGACAAGAAGAACAGCAGTTGCTGCTCATGCCATGCTGCTCATGCACAAGGCAGTAAAATCACCATCTAAATTTTATTACTGGATCTATAATAAACACAGATTCAGAGTGATGGAATGTGCCGTGTTAAACTAACGCAGGAGGCAGGCAATCCTTAGTACAAGAGCTGAAGAGCAGCATGCTTGACCAATTTGCTTGGCTTGCAGAACCTTTTCTTGGCCCAAGTAGCAGAGGCAAGCCCTTGAGGTTCTAGCAGCACTGCTGGGCCCAGCTACATGGGAGAAGGTATGGTTATGACCAACATTGTTTGCTGGACCTAGACAGGTGCTGCCTGGGTCCAAGGAGAGCTCTTGAGGCACTGGAAATGCTGATGTTGTATTGTTTTTTGGGGGGAGGGGTGCCCTGACTTAATCTCACACATGCTGACGGGATGTTATCTTGTGCATCCTTTACAAACAGCTTCTGCCTCAATCTGGTAATCATTTAGTAGAGAGAAAATGTGAATTCCAGGAATGAAAACAATTTAGTATATTTTTGCAGGGTTTTTTGCGCTTTATTTTTCATATTTGCTTTTCACCACACTGTTAAAAAGTAGTATTGGATAGCACCTTAGGAATGTTGTTCAGTGTTTTATTATTTTCACACAAACAAGTAAGAAAATAGTTTACTGTCAGCGTGATACAGGACAAATGCTTGTTGCCTGGTTTTTTTTGCGCAAGTTGATTTTAAAATAATTTCAAGTTTTAAAAGGTATTTTCTAATCAACCTGTTGGGTTAACCTTTTTTGAAACGCAAAATACATGGCAATAATTAAATACATGACATCTCAGCTTTTAAAATACACAGCATGCTGCAAATACGCATTTTTGTAGACAATCACCCATTTCCTTCATATATGTTATCTCCACCTCGGTTACACTGCTGCATTTGAACACTTCTTTTTAATGAGGAAGGATAGGATCAAAGACCCCCCCCCCGCATCCCCCTATGTTCCCTCTGCAGTGTTTTGGGATTGTAAAACTCACACATCTCCCCTTTTTCTTTGCTGAGAGCTTGTTTGTATGGAACCAAACCCACCTTCTGTAGAAACACAGTAGAGAATTTTCTGGTCTTTCTTCGTTTCTAGCTTTAAACATCTACTGGCCCTTTAAGGCTAGAAGGGAGGAGTCATGAGCATGGGTCAGCATCATGCTGAGTCTCTCCTCCTGTTGATAGCACCATGTTATCTGGCAGTTCAGATTTTGAGAATGTTGCTGTGGCAGTGTGAGTTGGGGACGAGCAGGCAAGCAGGTTGATGTCAATTGCTGCTCACCACAGATGAGTGGCAAATCTGCTTGGCTGATATATAACAAAACTTACTAGGTGGCGAAATAAATATCCATATCAGTTACCTTCTCCTTTTTTTCCACCTTCCCCCCATTTGCAGTGTTGTTTCTACCATGGTCAAATCTAAAGTTTTATTTAATTATCTTTCTGATTTGATTCATCAAATTAAAATAATTATTTAAAAAAAAATAGAGCACCAGGAAAAAAATCCTGTTACAGGTACATATAGGATTCTGTCTTACTATTAGAGAGTACACGTTAATTAGTAGTAGACCCTACATGTCGGGACATCTTCCCTTCATTGTGTGAGGGAAGCTGTATAGCTAACATTTTAACTCCTTTACAACCTTATTTCCCAATCCATACTAAGAGATAAACTGTTGAGCTGTAGCTGGGTACAGATCACAAATGTGGAGCAGCTGAGTTAACTCAAGATTATATGGATTGGTGGATAACACAATCACGCCTTTATAGTTCCAGTGTGATATTTTCTACCTATCAATGGAGTTTCACATGTCTCGGAAGAAATTCTTGCATTGTATCTGCAATAAAAGTTAAATATTTTGTGACACACTGGGCAGTCACCTATCTTTTCCCACCACTTTGAGTGACAGCATTGGGTATGGATCTTGTGACGTGCAGTTTCCCATCCTTACTGTCCTGGAGTGGTGTCTTGAGTTGTCCAGTAGGTATCTTCACTGGTACCACAGTTGTGGTTGTAGCCTTTGATTTAGGGATTCGAGTAGGAATTGCTTGACGGAAGACATCAGCGATCTTGGAGTAAACAAAAAGAAGGGGTTGGGATTGTTATGGCCACTAATCTACACAGCAAAACAAAACTTGTCAGAAGGGCAACATTACAAAACAGAATAAGGCAGGAATTCAAAAGACAACTTAGTTAATTCTAGTATATAGATCCTAATAGCTATGCTGGTTGAACCCTGACTCACCGGTCCCTTAAATACTGCCCATGCCAATTAGTTAAGATAGCCAAAGAAGACCAAAGAGCCAACCCTAAACTGAGGATATTGCTAGCGCTTTATTATGTTTTACCATGTCTGAGTTTTAATATTGTATGTATATTAATTTATGTAATTTTATGCATTGTATTGTCTGATTTTATTCTGTTGTAAGCTGCCCTGAGCCGGCCTAGGCCGGGAGGGCGGGGTAAAAATCTAAATCTAAATAATAATAATAATACATTTTATTTATTTACTAAATTTGTGTCCTGCCTTTCTGTCCTCACAAGGGCCACCAAGGTATCTAACAATTTAAAACATAAGTGATAAAATCACATTTTAAAACCATTAGAATCAACCACCCCCAGTCAAACATCATTAAAACAACAGTTAAAATACATACAAAGACATAAATACAGTGTTTAAAACATTGGCTTGGAAGGAAGGATCACTGAGGGAATGCCAAACAAAACAGCCTTCACCCACTGGTGGCTACAGAAGGGGACAGACGAATCTCCGATTGGAGAGAGTTCCAGATTTTTGGTGACGTGACTGAGAAGGGCCTCTCCCGGCCTGCCACCCACCTAATCTCAGAAGGTGCGGGAACCCAAGTAGGGCCTCCGAAGATGAGTGTAGTGGTCAGGCAGGTTCATAAGGGAGTAGGCAATCCTCCAGGTATGTTGTTCCCAAACTATTTTAAGCTGTTTGCTCTTGATTGGGGAATAGCAAGAATAACAATTTGTGAAATAACTGCTAAGTTAATCATCTGCTAGACAACTAATGTAAAAACTGATGGTTTGAACAAATGATCAAAGCTTCAGTGCATCTAAGTTGTTCTTGGTGGACACCTGATGCCAAGTGAACAAAATTGGAATATGTATTGGAAATAATAAATTATTGATTCCACCTATTAGAGTCCTGTCTTTTACCTTTGCCTACTTACTAAACTTCACCACAAAATGGTCTGAGAAAGAACCTTTTTATTATTTGTGTGGTATTGTTTTCCCTACGGAAAAGTGCTTTGAAATACTGGGGGGGGGGAGTTGGAAAAGAAAGGAAAGAACATGTCAAATGAGACAGAAAAAGAATTTACCACTTTTTTCTGTAGGTGGCAGCCCAGTTCAATAGTTAAGGGGAAATATTCAGGCCCCAAAACATGTTTTTAAAGCAGCCACCACTGATGTCCTATTGCAAAGCTAATTGTGAACCATGGAGAACCGTGATGAAGTACTTTTTAAAAAGTGTTCTGAAGGTTACTTTCAGGAACAGCAGTTTTATTTGCTTCCCTAGCCATTAGCACCAGCTTTGAACAGTGTATCTGTGAAGTTTAACTACTGTGTTCCAAGGGAAAATGGGATTAAGCAGGTATACCACTTCTGTTATTGGTCAGTCTACAATCTCAGTCTGTGGTTTGACTCTCTAGCGCTCCTGCCACACGGGGGGGGAAAGCACCAAAAGAGACACACGGTGGCGGGATCACATAGATCCCCTGAGCTGCCGCGCACTTCCTCCTCAGCACAATCAGATGCTGGGGGGAAGCCACTGAAAGGGGAGTGAGGCAGCTGAACTGCGCATGTGTGCGCATGCGCAGTTCGGCCGGGAGCCTGGATTGCTCCGGATGACGGGCGCGCCGGTGATCCCACGGCTGTGCTTGATGTGGCGTTTCCGGTAAGTCCTCCTCTGGGGGTGGTTCTTTTTTACTGCGGGTTTTCGGCCTGAAGGGCCGGATCGGGGACGGGTGCACGCCGCTTCCCAGATGTTGCGGTGAGATCGGGCCCGTTTGCTGCGCCCCCGATCTGTCCCTCTCCTGGGCCAAAACCTTCCGTGTGACCAGGGCCTAGGTTCTTCTCATCATTTGTAAAATTAGAATAATTGGGAAGAGCATTGATCTCCTGCATAGATATAGAAATGTTTTTTTGAATGTCTGGGCTAGACAGGACAGCTACTGGAAAATAATAATAAGCTATGATGTTTTTCTGTCTAATTTCTAGGTTGAAGTGAAACGTGATATGGCATTCTCCAGTACCAGCTCTTTCTTGAGTGTGTGGGTAGCTGGATCAATTAATATCTTTGGGCTAGAAGAGAGATGTATGTTTTTTGCCATATGGATGATCATATTAGCAGGAAGTGACAAAGTGGCAGTAGATAAGTCTTATCTCCTGCCTGTTCAGCCATGGCCTCTAAAGCTGTACCAAAGATTGTCGAAAGAGAGTTTCTGGTTGATCTTGGAGATTGTGATGGAACATAAGGGGTTTTATAGGTGAGCAGACCGCTGGTTCATTTAGCTTAGTGTTTTCTGTTCCAGCTAGCAAACAGCTCTCCAGGCTGAGAAGTCATTCCTAACACCTCCTGCCTGAGATCTTCTCAACTGAGACGTCAGGAATTGATTCTTGGACATTCTGTATTTAAAACAAGGGCTCTAGTGCTGAGCAATGTCCTCCTTTGCTAATTGTCTTATGTAACTGCCGTATCACTAGTCCATCAGGTTCACTATTTCCACTGACTTGCAGCTGCCCTCTAGGGTCTCAGGCAGCAGTCTTCTAGGGTCTGTCACCTGTTGTATTTGGCATTAATTGCAACTTCCAAATAGTTGTCAAGGACAGGCCCCTAATTCTCAAATAGTAATCTCTGAATTTCAAAAGTCTCAATGAAAATATGATTACTAAAACAAGCATTACAAGTATTGCTGGTTTTCTAAAGAGGTTGATCATCACATTAATAGGGTACTTCTTCTCTAGGCAGTAAGAGTTCTTGACTACCACGACTGTTAAGTAGCTTAAGCAATCAAACCTTGAGATTGTTTTACTTAATCTTTACTTTTACTGCAGCAGTTTTGCTTGCCAGTACCATGAGTAAACACAAATTTAATCCATGAGAATGTAATGAAAATGTATAGTGGTGAAAATCTAGTGTCTAGAGTTTTTTCAGTATAAGGGCTATTTAGCTGATAAGGATTGGACAGCAGAGGGCATAATTGCATAATTTGTGTCTCACTCTCACTCAACTCTGTTAAGTGTTAAGTAGTAGTGTTTTCAAGTTTGCACACTAATATTCTTGTATAGCTTGGCAGATTCTGGTTTGCCCTCAGGCTGTTTTCCAGCTAGAGAGAAGACCAGGTATGCGGATAGGAAGGTTATGTAGTGTGTGAGAAAACCTGGAATAAATGCCTTGGGTCTTTTCATTGTTTTTCAAATGCTTCTGTCTGCCTTGCTTAGTCAAGTTTTACATAGGGACTCATTCAAAATAGGTACACAAACACTGCCTTATACTGAGCCAGAGACCAATGGTCTATGAAGGCTACTATTGGCAGTGGCTCTGAAGGGTCTTGGGTCTTTTTCACATCACTTATTACCTGATGTCTTTAACTAGAGATGCCAGGGATTAAACCAGTGACCTTCTGTATGCAAAGCAGATGCTTTACCATGGAGCCATGCCCCTTATTCTATCCTTATTTTTGTATTTATTAATAATGATAAAAAGTCCTTGGGTAGGCTTGCCAACAGGCCAAGAGAAAAATATCCTGTCCCTTTAACAGAGGTTTAATGTTTAGAAATGAGTGGTGAAGCTTTTCATGGAAAGGAAGTAAATAACATCCATTAAGGTGATATTAATGCGACAGGACATTTTTTTCTCCAGGCAGCTGGCAACTCTATTCTCGGGATTTTTTTTGTTCTTTTCTTTTACTTTCACATTTTAGTTCTGCCTTGGAGGTGTTTGGCAATTTCCCTTCTCTGTGTGATTAAGTTCTTCATATACTTACTAGTAATATTTTAATTTCCATGCTACAGGGTTTGGGAGGATTTGTAGCATAAACAGTGTAAGATATCCTTCGTACGGTAAAAATGGAATATCATTGAAATGAGAGGTAGTAGAAATAATGAGTTATGTATATCATTGCTACATCCTGTTTTTAAAAATTCATTGATAACTGCAGAGCATTATTGCAGAAGGGGGTCTGTTATATACCTCTACTCAAGTGTTTCTGGACAGAAACTGGTATACTCTGAGAAGCCTTCAGAAGTCAGGACACTCAAACACACTCATCCTGTAGCTATTTATTGACCACTGCCCTATAAATATGTAGGGTCTCTCATATTTTTAAATACTATTTATTGTAGGTAGCTGGAATGCCAGTATAAAAGCCTCAGTAAGCTAAATGTAGCTATAACTAAATCTTGTTGAAATCAGTCATGACTAACCTGATGCATTTGTTTTAGTGGGATATAATTATGACTAACGACAGCTATATTGGTCTAGTGCAGTAGTTCTTAAACTTTCTGGAGTGAGACCCACAACTAATCTTATGATATTTTTTGTATCCACTTGAAATGTCATTTCACACAACTTTCTTCCTCCCTAACATAAAACATGAATCTCACATCTGTATTTCATGGGAGTTTCACATGTTACAAGGAGGCAAACCAAACATTGCCACGTAGCCTCCCAAAACCTCATCTGCTAGATCACTCTGTTCTTCCTTTCCCATTTGGCCTGGTGACTCCACGTGTGAAAGAGTCACAATCTCTTTTTGGATTCTGGTCCATATGGTATGATTCTACAGTTTGATATTCTGGCCTGGCCACCAGTTCTTTTATAATCATGCCCAATCCTTTTATTCTCTCTGAGTCTCATTTCCCTGTTTGAAACTCTGTGCTATGATCACATTTTGATTAGACTATTGTATTATCTATGTGGATATACCTTTAAAGATTGTTTGGAAGATTTAGGCTGCAGTCACACACACTAAATAATCCACTTTCAAACCACTTCCAATGCACTTTCCAACTGGATTTTGCCAGTTCACACAGTAGAAGA